CTTTACACTCGCCCAATTCTCTCTTTAAAAGCGGAATTTAATTGACACTTGTCCAAAAATAATCTGCTATTTAACGCAATAATTGTTTTTTTATCGTTACTAAACATTGAGAATTTAAAGGCGAATTGATTTCGTAACAAATAATAATAATAATAATAATAATAATAATAATAATAATAATAATAATAATAATAATTATTATTATTATTATTATTATTATTATTATTATTATTATTATTATTATTATTATTATTATTATTATTATTATTATTATTATTATTATTATTATTATTATTATCCCATTATTCATTATTAATTTTATGATTTACTACTTATTATTATTTTATCTAATTATTCGAAAAATCATTTCAAACCACGAAAAATTATTTTTTAATTTTTGTAAATTCAAAATTCATAACCTCAATTCATTTAGTTAATGATAATAATAATTATTTTTACTTTAACTATTAGTTAAATCATTAAATCTAGTAAAAATGTAACAAACAAAATTATTATTATTATCATTATTTTAACAAGAATAATTTATTATTTACTCTCTCTAAATTAAAATGAGTTAAAGATAAATAATTGTTAGTAAAATGTTGGCTGACTTTTTGCTTCAGTAATTAGGAAAAAAATAACTAATTATTAGTAAACTGTGATTTAATTAAATTGACATTAAATTCAATAGTCGATTAAATGACGTTTAGACGATTTAATAATTTGTCATTTAATCCAAGTCATTTAACCGAACCAGTAATTAACTGAATTAAAATTCAACTCATATCCCCCTTAACTAAAATAACTCTTTAATTAAATTATTAGTAAATAAATTGATATTAAACAAAAATTGACAAAAAAATAAACAATTTCCCAAAATTGTCGTTTAAAATTTAACCAAATTTAAAAAGAAATTAAACTAACATTTAATAGAATTATGATTTAATTTGATTTACTTCGATTTAATTTGGTACAATTAGATTTAAATAAAATTTAATAAAAATTTTATTTAATTTTATAAAAATATCAAGTTTCATTTCACCAAATTGCCATTTAATGTAATTACGTATTTATTAAATTGCCATAGAGCAAATTCTCATTTGACTGAATTTCCCTCGAGACAAAAAAATTCGTAGAATTAATAATAATTCTATTAAATAAAATTAATTAAAAACATTTAATTTAATTTTAAAAAATTGATATAGTAGATGAATTATAAATAAATATAAATATTATAAATTATTTAAATAAAATATATAAATATATATATATATATATATTTTATTATAATAGATATTTTTATCTAGAGAAATTTAATTGTACGAAAATATTGAATAAATTAATAATTAATCACGGAAAAATAGTTTTCCCTGGAACAGCAATAATTTTCTCTAGAATAACAAAAGTATTAATTGTAACAACTAAAAATTTCTCTATTATAGTAAAATTTTTTTTTGTTCCAGGTAAAAAATTTTTTTCATGATTAATTAATAAATAATAAATCAATTAATAAATATCAAACAAATTAATAAATAATTAATTAATAACACAAAAATTAATAAATAATACATAAATTACTAAATAACACTGAAAATAATAAATGATAATCAATAATAATAAATAGTAATAAATAATAATGAATAATAATAAATAATAAAAAATAATAAAAAATAATAAAAAATAATAAAAAATAATAAAAAATAATAATAAATAATAATAAACAAATTAATAAATAAACAATTCTTATAAATACTTAATTTCCATACGGAAAAAAAATCTTTACTTGGAACAGCTATAACTTTTCCTATATTGGCAAAATTTTCAGATATTTTTCAGGTAAAACGTTTTAATTATAATAATAATATTCAAATAGTATTTTAATGAAACGAGAATTTTGACCCTAAAATTTCAATGTTTCGAAAATTCTCCAAAGATTATTTAAAGAAAATTTATGGATTCCGATTTAGGTTAATTTATTTCATACATATAACGTGTATTTTCAAATTAAGGGTAAAAAATAGAGAAAAGTTTTTCACTTTACCTTCATTAAATGACACATATGAAAGCACTCATTTCTTATACAGGTTAAATATATACCTGTATCTATATATATATAAAAGAAAAATACCTGCTCAGAGTTTCTTTTAATGACGATCAATAAAAGTGTGGAAGAATTTTCGCAGCCACTACTCGAGAATTAAGTTTTATATCTGCAATTTAGTTCTCGGCACGACATGTATTCTATTATACACATTCCAGAAATATTCCATTCGAACTTTAAAAAAAATATTCTATTCAGGAATTTCGAATATTTCCATTAAATATTATAGTGGACTATATTAACAATGTAATTAATATTAAAATAATTATAATATAAATTTCAATAATGTAAATACTTCATATACTCAAGAGAATAATTTTCAAAAATTCCAAATCGAAAATAATTCCCGAAGTTTTTCAAGTTAAAATTAACTAAAATACATACTTCTTTTTGTCTCTTTTAATTTGTATTCATTTACAAAAAAAATTTTGGTATATTGAAAAATTAATTTTTCAGTAAGTAAATATTTAATTTTAACTATTATTCTTTTTTCAATAGTAATTTTTAAAAATATTTAAACAAAAAAAACATTTTATCCATTTAAACGTTCAAAACATTGGGAAAATGAAATTAAGATATTGAATTTCAACTGGTTAAATTAAAATTAAAATCTATTTTGTGCGTGGATTTTCGGTCTTACAAGTTATGACCTGCAATTAAAGGTGATCGCCCTTTATTTCTATAAATGAATGCGAGAACAAAATATAAACAAAATTCGAGTTAATTACAGTACTAATAAAATTTCATATTTTCTGACGTTAAATGAACCAAAAAAATATTGTTAATTAAAAAATGTATTGTTACTTTTTCGAACAAAAAAAAAAAAAGAATAATACCTATTAAAACGAGTTCTTGTTATTTTATCAATTTTTTTTATTGGAAATTGAAATAAAAAAATTTTTCCAAGTTAATTGTTATTTTTTGTTAAAATATTTGAAAACTAGTTGTTTTTTAATATTGTTCCATTTTTTGCTCCATTGTACTAAAATCAATATTTCTATATTTTTTAAAAGTGAAAATTGGAATATAAAGTTGCAAAAAAGTTTATAAAATTAAATTCTGCATTTTTTTGTTCACAATGAGACGATTCGTTTCGTTATATAAAATGATTATATTTATAAAAAATTAATTTTATCTCCAGCACATAGAAAAAAATATTTTTTTAATCAAGTACTCCTACTGTATAACTTTGGTTTTTAAGTTATTGTAAACAAAATTTGTTTAATCGAAATAAAAATTTATTTTATGTAAACAATCGTTTAGTTTAATTAACTATAATAATGGATTTATTGATCCAACCTTTTTTATAGTTCAATTAATTTTATTAATTAACGCTATATTGCTTTTAATATTCAATTATTATCTAAAATTTTAAATAAAATTCATTTTTACATCAATTTTTATTAGAAAATTCTACTGGAATTCAATTATTTAAATACAAAAATAATTAATGTATTAAATAATTCAATGTTTCTTAAAATTCACTTCCCATAAAGAATTTTTTCAACAAATTTTTAAATAATTGAATTCTTTCTACGAATTTTAATAAACTTTTTAAGAATAATTACATTTTTCGAGAAATTCGATCAAATATATATTAAAAATAATTAATATTCTACTATGAGTTTTCTTATTTGTGACAATAATTGAATCGCTAAAGAGAATATTATTTTTGAACAATATTAAATTTTTGCGAATAATATTATTACTCTTGAAAATAATTAAATTTCTGCAATAATTTGTTACTTTTCTAAAATTAATTTTTTTTGTGTTTTTAACTAAAATTCTTCTTTAAATTAATTATTTTCAATCATTTTTGAAAAAGTTCTTTGAGAATTTTCAAATTTATTTGTTTACAATTCACTTTTACAAAATTTCAATTATTCGTAAATTCTTCAATTAAATATATATTAGAAAATAAAAACTTCAGATAATATAAAAAAAATCCGCAATTAAACTTTCTGAAAAAAATTAATTCCACAGAATTGTTTGTTTAAAATATAAAAAATCCAGATTTTCAAATATTTTAATTTGAAACCAATTCAAAATGCAATTATTTCTAAAGATTCACCCTGTAATGCATTTAATATTCAATTATAATCTAAAATTTTAACTGAAATACATTTTTAAATCAATTTTTATTAGAAAAATCTACTGGAATTGAATTCTTCTAAAAAATTTTATCAATAAATTTTTTAATTTATTGATAAAATTTTAATTGAATTCTTTTGACGAATTTTAATAAAATTTTTAAGAATAATTACATTTTTCAAGGAATTCGATTAAAATTGTACCTATTACTTATAAAAATAATTGAATTCCTAAAAAGAATTTTATTATTCACGAAAATAATTAAATTCTTGTAAAAATTTTTGAAAATAATTGAATTTCGGAGAAGAATTTAATTATTTCTAAAAATAATTTAAATTTTGATAAAAATTTAAAAAAATTTTTGAACATAATTCAATTTCTGCGAAGAATTTTATTACTTTTGAAAATAATTGAATTTCTGCAATCATTTGTGATTTCTCTAAAATTCTCCAAACTATATCGTAAAATTTACGAACTTTTCGTCTGTTCTTAATAAAATTACGGACCTTTTTTCAAAAAAAAAAATAATCTTATTATATTTTCAATATTAATATATTATCAATCTTAATATATTTTTAATGTTAATATATTATTAATTGCATTTTTGTTTTTTTATATTTCGCGCCAATACGTTTCTCGAAATTGCCGCCTAGATGGCATGAAAGTTCTCTCACAAACGAAATAAAGCGAATAAATTTCACCATTCAAGCTGGTAGTGAAAAATAGTTTCGGCTCTGTTAAAAAAAGAATAATATTAAAAATAACAACAACAATAAACAATTTGTTAATAATTTTTATTTAAATTTCAAATTGTTCCATTTTTTTATTTTCTTCAAAAAAAAAAAAAAAAGAAAAAGCAAAAAATAGCCAATATAAAGACTGCGTTTTGAATTTTTCTATATGAAGTACCCTCAGAATTTCTTCGAGATAAAAGACTCACCGATAATGGCTCAACATATAAAACCAACCCTCTGCCCGTGTCTTGATAAAACTCTTATATACAGGACTGAAGTGGTAAACATCCAGAGCCGTTACATCTTGCGTGCTTTTGGTGTTCATAAGCACACCTACCTTTACTCATAATTGCTATCGTGGCATACATAATGACATGACCAAGTCGCCCGTAACAAATTTTTACTCTCTCTCTCTCTCTCTCTCTCTCTCTCTCTCTCTCTCTTGGAATAGAAAAAAAAATTTATATATGAAAAGTTCTCAACGCCTTCGGCATAAGCGTGGACTCTCATAACGAACTTAAAAATTCTTCCACCTCACCAAAATCTTTAGTGTCTTGCTCATTACTAAAGTCTGTGAAGTATTGCTGCCGACGTGTAATCACGTTAAATTAATTACAAACTTATTAAAAGCACGAAGAAATTTACATTATTCCAATTTTCTCTGTCTCGTTCGATGAAAACATATTTTCTCAATATATTTTCAGAATTTTCAAATTTATCCTCAATTGTAAATTATTTATTTATTTATTTATTAACATATATTCGACACGCTCCGAAGAAAGAGAAAAGAATTTTCTCCTAAGAAGCAACTTTCTTGTTGATAATTTATTCGAGTGTACAAAAATATTATATGTACAAAAATATGACATGTACAAAAATATGACATTTACAAAAATATGACATGTACACGTATACCGAAAGTACAAACGCGGCAGTTTGATTGTTACTTTTGAATGTATAGTTGTAGCTGGGGGCGGTATAGTTACAACTGTGGTAACTGAAAGTTTGTGAAAAGCTTAAAATAACTAAACTAACCCAAAGAGCGTAGGTTTACGCAAGTAGCGTAAGTAACGTAAGTAACGTAAGTTACGTAACTTACGTAAATCATTTATTATTTGTAACTCGAAAGACTAACATAACTACACCATTTACGTAAGTTACGTAACTACACCATTTGCGTAACTCGCGTAAGTTACGTAAGTCACTTAGCTGACGTAACTCACGTAACTGATTCATCAATGGTCATACTTTGATAATATTACCGAGAAAGCAAGTTACTTTTCCTCCCTCACAGGGAGGGAATGTTACATTCCCTCCCGGTGACGTCACTAGCCGGGAGGGAATGTACATTCCCTCCCGCTCGCAGGGAATCATACACTTTTCTCCCGCTAAACACGTAGGAAATGGTGTACTTTCGGTGCGTGTGGTAGAAAAAAATATATATTATACAAAAATAAAATCCAAAAAAAAATCTCTTAGAATCTAGAAATTATTGATGGAGTTTAGAAAGAAAAATATGAGTGCATTTAACTCTCTCGTTCAGAAGTTACAATTTAGGAACCAAGACCACTGACCCAGATGCGGGTAATTTCACAGAACTAGTGTCGACAAAACTGCCGATATTGATTTTCGAATCAACATTCGAAGAGTACACAACCATTTGCTTAGGAATGTTCAACCAGATGTTGACATCGACAACCACTTCCGTTTCTGCAGTGTTTATCACAAGAACTACAGATGACAATCCTTCCAAACTTCGTAACACCACCAATACATTATCGCTCATCAATTTCATATCAAAATCTCCATTCTTAATAACAGAAAAATTCTTTCTCAAATTCGTTAAACTTTTAAAGAATTTATAATTCGAAACATCCTGCAATTTTTGCCTCTTCAAATTTAATGTCTTATAATTTTCATGTACCGGTAACCACGTTTTCTCACTAGTCGAAAATCCTCCACTTACACTGTCATCCCACTGGAACGGTGTCCTCTCAGGATCTCTTGATTTTATAAAGTACCTGTCTGGACCAGCATTACAGCCAGAAATATCCCTCGTTTCTTCCCAAGTTAAAAATTTATTAACCATTCCAATTTCATCTCCATTATAAACAACACAAAAACCAGGAAGTACCATACTCAACATAATCACCATATCCGATTTTTTCGCACCATACCTCGTGGCAATACGATGATTATCATGATTACCAGTCACCCAATTTGCATCACGATAATTCGGTATATTCTCCAACCAATTTTTAATTTCACGTTCAAAATCTTTTGCCACCGACTTATCGTTCAATGACGAAATAAATGCGAAATTAAACGGATTTGCACCCGCCTGAAAATACTTCATTATCTCATCTAAATTTGTGTACGCCTCCGTGACAATAAATTTACCATCAGTATTATGTACCTCGGAATATTGATTAAGCATATTCCTCCAGGCCTTAATCACTTCATACGTCTCTATTTGATCCTTAGTATAAATATGATCAAGTGAATCGTAATCATCAATCGGAACATTATTGTTGTTTCTTGGCTCATCCAGCATTCTCACATCCTCAAACATATGATTCACAGCATCAATACGAAAACCATCGGCACCACGATCCATCCAAAATTTTAACACATCCGTCATTGTGTCATAAACCAAAACATTGTAATAATTTAAATCCGGCTGGCCAATGGCAAATTGATGAAGATAATATTGACCACGTTGTTCATTCCATTCCCAAGCGGAGCCACCGAATGCACTCAGCCAATTGTTAGGTGGCTTTCTAACCCCATTGACAATTTTGGCGTCACGCCAAACGTAAAAGTCGACGTATGGCTTGATCCTCTCTACACTCATCTTAAACCACTCATGCTCATTCGAACTATGATTCGGAACAAAATCTAAAATCACCTTTAATCCCAATTTTTTAGCCTTAGCAGCAAGTCTATCGAAATCTGCCAATGTTCCATATTGAGGATCGACATCAGTGAAATTGGCAACATCATAGCCAAAATCGACCTGTGGACTTGTATAAATAGGCGAGAGCCAAAGTGCATCGGCGCCAATGTCTCTTACGTGTTCCAATTTGCTCGTTATTCCATTAAGATCTCCAATACCATCCCCATTGCTGTCCTTGAAACTTCGAGGATAAATTTGGTAGATAATCGCGTCCTTCCACCAATCGTTACTACTAACGGCTTGGACGACGTGAATCACAGCAAGAGAGATACAGAGGAGCGTTAACTTTGTCATGATTGATGGACAGACTGTGTTCTGATATGTGTGGTTTATCAAATTTATACTCCACTATCTTGCTAACCGAATTTACACAAACAATTTGTAATCGATTCACTTGTCTAACAACACCCTCTATATGGCCACTATTCAAAGTCCATAAGGAAATAAATGATTTGAATTCCGATAAATACACGCGAAACGGATAAAAGATAAATAAAATAACCGACTATTTTCTTTATCTCTCTCTCTCGATCGCTCGAAACAATGACAATGATAAGTTTTATTATTGCAATTTGCAAATATACATTTCGTGCAAAATCAAATATTCTTCGTTGTTTATCTAGTAGACCAGAAATTCAATGTTTAACACCAATCAAAATTATAGTAGAATAAATTTATCCTCAAAATTCATCTACTTTTCGGTACACTGAGAAAAAATTTACTCTAATTCAAAAACACGTAGCCAACCAAAAAATGCTTTGAAAATTTTACTCCTTATAACTCCAAAAAAATGCGAATTATATAAAATCTCATTTTTAAATTTTACTCTATTTTTTACAATTAAATATTAATCTTCATATTCTTTCATTCATTCTGTCCGCAGTTTGAAGTTAGTTTCAGGATTCCTGAAGTTGGCGTCGACGCTGAGCATTAAAAAAACACTTTTTTTAAAACCAAAAAAAAATAACTCAACTTATTCCAAGGTTTAACCCCTTCGCAGTCCAGTTAAAAATCGCTTGTGGTCCAAAAACGGTCCGAAAAAAAAGTTTACAAAAAAATATTCTTTTATCATATTTTTTTTTTTGGGGTCACTGAATTCGAATTTAAGGTCAGTTTTTTTAAATTCAAAATGGCGGATCCAATATGGCGGATAATTTTAAAATTGATGCGTTTCAACGAAAATCCATTTCTCGGGGGTTTTCGGGGTCGCTGATTACGAATCTGATGTCAGATTTTCAAAATTCAAAATGTCGGATTCAACATGGCGGACGAGAAAATAAAAAATCTATCGGATTTGCTTTAAACTTGCTACTCGGGGGGTTTTTGGGTTCGCTAATTACAAATATAATGTCAGATTTTCAAAATATAAAATGGCGGATCCAATATGGCGGATAATTTCAAGATTGATGCGATTCGATCGAAATTCATTTCTCGAAGATTTTTGGGGTCGCTGAATTCGAATTTGATGTTCCACTTTCAAAATTCAAAATGGCCGATCAATAAAAATTAAGATTTTCAAATATTCCATTTGAAATTAAACAATTTATAAAAAAAATTGTTATAAAACGTGAAGATATCGAGTGTTAAAATAATTATTTTATATTATAAGAATATTGTTACTGTAACTTCTTAAAAATTATTTTCATATTCAATTATGAAAAATTTAAACTAAAATTCATTTTCAATTCAATTTTTATTAAAAAATTCTCTGAGAATTAAATTATTTAAATACAAAAGTAAATTATTTATTGAATAATTGAATGTTTCTTAAAATTTACTATTTATTAACAATTAATTAACAAATTTTTAAATAATTGAATTCTTTTGACAAATTTTAATAAAATTTTTTAGAATAGTTACATTTTTCAAGGAATTTGATTAAAATTATATAGTTATATAATAATAACAGTAATAATAATAATAATAAAAGATAAAAATAGTCATGAAAGTAAATAATAATAATAATAATAATAATAATAATAATAATAATAATAATAATAATAATAATAATAATAATAATAATAATAATAATAATAATAATAATAATAATAATAATAATAATAATAATAATAATAATAATAATAATAATAATAATAATAATAATAATAATAATAATAACTACAAGTTGTTAGGATGGTTGTGAACTAAAAAACATTTTCTCTAAATAAAAAGTACTTAATTAAATTAAAATTAATTACATTGCAGCATATTAAAAGAGAATTCTTTCTAGAGCATTTCATTTTAATTGAAATTTCAAGTACAATATAAAAGTCAAATATTCCAGTACAATTAAAGCTTATCGTGTTGATAATAAATGCAAACTAGGTCACAGAAATGAAGTAAGAGATTTGTATCACAACAATGAGGCAAGAAAGTTATCGAATTATAATAAACAAAGTTACGCAGCATTTAATAATAATTAATACGTAACATTTTTTTTGTTTTTTCTATTTTTTTTTCTTTTAATTACAAACGCAATCAGATCATAATCTTCAAGTATTTTTAATTAAATAAAGTTTAAGAAATATTGACTCGGATTGAAATTATGTACAGATTAATTAATAAACTCGTATTTCAAGTTTATTAGTGAAAAATATGATAGGTATATGTATGTATACAAGGAATTATAAAGTTTGGAAAGTTTCATTTTACATTTTAATTATGCACCCTCAATTTGTAGTAATATACAAATTTCTTTAATCACAAACAATATCAGATCAAACTTTTAATATGTTCTTAATACAATTTTCTCTCTCTCAACTTATAAAGAGCATGTTTTCATAAGAAAACTTTTCATAAAGATATTAATAAAATTTATTCTACTCGAAAATATTCATCTCGTTTAATTATATTCACCTCAAAAAGAGTGTTTAAAAAATTTATAAAATTTAATTTTTAATTTCCATCACAGTTTTATCTCTAATTTAATTTATCATTTTCTATTTCTAAATAAATTTCTATAATTTTCTTTGTAATTTATGTAATTGATAAAAAAAACTTATAATTTTCTTTAGAATTTAATTTACATATAATTTACTTTATTATTTAATTTATAATTTATTATTTGATTTACAACTTCATTTATAATTTAATTTTCAATTTCATTTGCAATTCTAATTATTGTTATTTATATTATTATTTAATTCAAAATTCAATTTATTATAAATTATGTAATTCATAACAAAATTTATATATTTTTTTAGAGTTTGATTTATAATTCGATTTACAATTTAATTAAAAATTTAATTTTCAATTTGATTTAAAATTTACTTTATTATTTAATTCACAATTTTACTTATAATTTTCTTTGTAATTCATATAATTTGCAATAAAATTTATAATCTTATTTAAAATTTAATATCATAAGATGGTTTTTTTCAGAAACCATGCACAAAATAAAATATATTTTCAAATATTAATGAAGTATTAATTTTGAAATATTGATTTCTGTCTTATCGATGATAAGCGAAATAAATATATATATCCGCTAATTTGACACCTTACCATCTTATAATAATTATTATTTAAAATTTGTTTAACAATTGAACTTATAATGTAAATTTCCATTTTGATTTGTAATTTACTTTATTATATAACTTGCAACTTAATTTATAATTTAATTTACAATTTTATTTATAAGATCATTCAAAATATAATTTATGTAACTTATAATTAAATTTTGTAATTAAATTAGCAATTTAATTTGTAATATATTTTATTATTTAATTTATAATTTTATTTTAAATTTTTTTATGGCGTAAGTTATATATATAATTATCTCTTTAATTTATTGTATAATTTACAATTAAATTTAGAATCTTATTCAGAATTGAATTTATAATCTGATTAATAACTTAATTTATAATTATATACTTATAATTTAATTGTTAATTGAATTTATAATTTAATATCTTATATTTATTTTGATAATGTTTTGCCATTTCACAAAAAGTGTATTTATTAAGTTATATTTATTTGTTAAAGTTTTTTCTTAGTTCTATTTTTACTCATATTTATTTTTTACGCTATTTATTAATTATTAATTTATTCAGTACACTATTTATTAAAATACGACTGAGTGATAGAATCATCTCTACTCTTATTAATTTTTTTAAATTTATTAAGTCATATTTATTAAGTTCATTTATTTTTTTTTATTTCGTTAAGTTTATTTTTTTTTTGTTTATTAAATCTATTTATTTATTTTTTCATTAGTTTAATTAAATTAATTTAATTAAATAAAAAATTATTAATTACATAATTCGTATGCGTGAAATATAGAACTTTATAAATTTATTTATTTAAATATAAATATAAATAAATCTAAATTTATGTTTGAAAAGTAATTGATATTGACGTTAACAATAATGAATTAACGGCTTATTATGTAAGAAGGTATATAATTTTTTTAAATGTTTAGTTTAGATTAGTAATAAACAAGCAAAAAATTCCTCTATTAAAAAAAACATAATAATTAATATGCTTTCAGAAAAAAATTCCAATTTTTATTCAAACATCGCTATCCGTGGAATCTTTTTACGTCAGCACCCTCTAATCACTATACATCCCTTATCAGCTAATAATAAATATACATGCCTTCAAGGCTTTATCAATTTTCCCGTTATCATATGTGTACAAGTATTTTTTTTCAACAATAATCAGAAAAATGATTGCATTTTTTTTCCAACAATAATTTCTATCCTATAAACATCGAGTTTATTCGAATTTAATTTTCAGTCGAGGAAAATGTTTAAGTTAACGTTGTTGTGCATTATTGCTCTCTCAATAAAAAAAATACAATCCGTCAACAATGATTGGTGGAAGAATGCCGTTATTTATCAAATCTATCCCCGAAGTTTCAAGGACAGTAATGCTGATGGAATTGGCGATTTAAATGGAATCACTGACAAAATGGATCACATAAAGGACATTGGAGCCGATGCTCTATGGCTTTCACCAATCTACACAAGTCCGCAGGCTGATTTTGGCTACGATATCGCCAATTTCACTAATGTAGATCCAGGCTATGGAACACTGACAGATTTCGATAACCTCGTAACAAAAGCAAAGAGTCTCGGTCTAAAGGTGATTTTAGACTTTGTTCCCAATCACAGTTCAACAGAGCATCAATGGTTCAAAAATAGTATCCAACGAATAAAACCCTACGACGAATATTACGTGTGGCGTGATGCAAAAATGGTGAATGGTCAACGAAAACCCCCAAACAATTGGTTGAGTACTTTCAAGGGTACAGCTTGGGAATGGAATGAACAACGTGGTCAATATTATCTCCATCAGTTCGCCATTGGACAACCGGATTTAAATTATCGTTCGGCTCTCTTGAATCAAGCAATGAAGGATGTACTGACATTTTGGATGAATCGCGGTGTCGATGGTTTTCGAATAGACGTCATTAATCACGTAATTGAAGATTCTTTACAACGCGACGAACCATTAAGTAATGATCCATCGGCAAGTTTGGATGACTACAATTCCCTGTTGCATATTTACACTAAAGATCAAAACGAATCCTACGATATTCTCAACAGTTGGAGGGTTTTACTCGACCGATTCGCCTCAGAGCATCAAACGGATGCTAAATTCCTCATAACCGAAGCCTACGCCACCCTTCCGATGACAATCAGGTATTATTCCGCCGGTTCGGTTCCATTTAATTTCATGTTCATCACCGATCTGAATGGCGCATCGACAGCAATGAATTTCAAGAGAACCATAGACAACTGGCTGAATAGCCTACCAAAGGCCAATGTTTCCAATTGGGTGGTTGGTAATCACGATAATCATCGAATAGCCTCGCGGTATGGTGTGAAAAAAGCCGACATGATAACAATGCTTTCGACCATTTTACCAGGAATCACTGTCGTCTACAATGGCGACGAAATCGGTATGATAGATCGTGAATTTACCTGGAAAGAAACGGTGGACGTTGCCGGTTGTAATTTAGGTCCCGACAAATATCAAATTGGTTCAAGAGATCCTGAAAGAACACCATTTCAATGGGACGATACAACGAGTGCGGGATTTTCGACAAGTGAAAATACATGGCTTCCGGTTAATAGTAATTACAAGGAACTGAATTTAGCAGCACAAAAAGCAGCGACAACAACGTCTCACTATAAAGTTTTCAAGAGTCTAACAACGCTGAAGAAGAAATTGCTGAATAAGAGTGGAAAGGAAAAAACGGATGTCACTCTAATTACGCCAAATGTTCTTGGAATTGTTCGAAGACTACCGGGAACAACACCAATAGCACTTGTAATCAATACCTCGGATGCTGAAGTTAAAGTTGATGCAATGAGTTGGTTAAATATTCCACTTGAAATGTCCGCCTATACGACAAGTGTAGATTCGGGAATTCCTTCCGGTACTCAAATTGAAACTAACGCATTGACATTACCCGGATCGGCGTCAATTATTCTCACCTCACAAAATCAAATGAATGAATTGTTGAGTTAATTCAATTGTAAACTTTTTTTTCACCACAAAATACAGTGGGAAAAAATTTATTTTATTCAAATAAACCATTACTTGTTTATTATCAATTAAATATTTACATTGAATCAATTTTTATTGATTTCAAATGTATTTGATTCCAATATTACTTGTTTATTATCAAATAAATATTTACTTGAATCAAATAATTTTTACTTGAGTCAAATAAATATTTACTTAAATCGACACTGTAGAAACAAAGTCTTAAAGTACTTACAGCTTAAATGTGTTTTTTCCTTAAATTCAACTCATTTTTGGGTTTAAAACAAAAGCAAAAAAATTATAAGTCTTAAAATCAATGTTCTAATCAGGAATTTAATCAATATTTGGACTAATGTAAGTTGTTTTAGTCAAAATCAGGCTTAATACAAGACTTATTTTTTACAGTGAAATAATTTTTATTGAAATCAAATGAATATTTTCTTGAATCAAACAATTTTTATTGAAATCAATTAAATATTTACTTGCATCAAATAATTTTTATTTAAATCAATTCAATTGTATTTTCGAGCCAATAATTTCAGTATTTAAAGCAAATACCATTTAATTCACTCATAAAAATTGATTCAAGTAAATATTTAATTAATAATAGTCAAGTAATCGATTATTTGAATCAAATAAATCTTTTTTTGTGTAACAAATACAAAATTTGAATTTTCATAACGCGGTGCAAAAAAGGGCACTTTTTTGCACCTTGTTATAAAAAATATCGTTCGTAACTAGTGCTAGCAGTTGCCAATTTTTGAACGAGCACTTTTTTTGGAACAAACTGTAGGCGAAGCTTCGCTTCGCCTACAGTTTGTTCCAAAAAAAGAGCTCATTCAAAAATTGACAACTTCTCGCACTCGTTACGAAATATACTATTTGTCCACTAATGTATGTACATTATAAATTTTCGCTAATATTTTAAAAAACTACTATTTAATTCGTGAATTGAAAAAAATAAATGAAATAAATAAAAAAATAAAGAAATAAAGAAAAAATTATTTGTACCGCGCTCCAAAGAAAGGTACCTAAAAAGCAAAAAATTTTAAGGATTTGTTTTTGTTATTTTTACCTTTAAAAAAAGTTTCTTTATTTAGTTTAAAACTAAAACCAGTTTTTATTAGTTATTTCAAATGTAATAAATAATTAAACATCAACAGTTTTTATAAAGAATCAATTTTCTTTGTGTAATTTCATTCAAAAAATTACAAACATAACCTAAAATTTTTTACTTCTCAGGTACCTTTTTTCGAAGCGTCTTAAATTTTATTTAGTTATTTTCTATCAAAGTTTTAGTGACAAATTAAAAATTGCAGTAAAAAAATTCTCTACAATTTTTTTAGAGTTAAAGAAAATAATAATAAAAATATTTTCAAAAACTACTGATGGCAATAAAAATTTAAAAATTAAATTTCGCATTTACAAATTTCATAATTTACTATTTTAAACGTAACTTAATATTTCTCCTAATAAAATTTTTATTTGAAGAAGAAATTTTATAAAAATATTTCTTGTATAATCAATTTACAAAAAAATATTTTCAAAATAAAGTTGAATTATTAAAACTTTTATTTCTAATAAAAATCAACTGCTATTAATAAATAAAAATGGAATAAATAAATAAATATATTTTTTAATAATATGTTCAATAATTTAAATAATCAATAAAAAATAAGTAATATATCGTAAAATTAAATTGTTTACAACAATATATTTAATAATTTTAATAATCATTAAAAAAAATGAAGTAAACGTTAAATAGTAAATAATAAAATTAATAAATTTCAGGAAAAAATACAATTTTTCTTATTTAAACTTAATATTACAGCCAGAGTTTATTTTGAAATTGTAAAAATCGTTCTTTAAAAATATTATCCTGTTAGAAACATTTATTTAATAAATTCAAAGATTTTATAAAAATACGTTTTAGAAATTAAAAATTGTAGCTGGAAAATATATTTTAAATATAAAAGATTGTTAAAAAAATGAATTTTAGAAAGAAAAAATTAGAAAAACTGAAAAATATATTTTGAAACTAAACAATTGTTAGAATATTAAATTTTAAAAATCAAAAGTTATTAGAAAAATATATATTTAAAAACCTACTGTTACGAAAGTATATTTTGAAAATCAAAAATTATTAATGTTTAGTAAAATATTATTACTTTGCTAATCAGTTTTAATTTTTCTTGATAAAGTTTTAGTAGTGAAAAGAAATGAAAAAAATTAGTGAAAAAGTAAAATAAATAAAATAAAATAGAAAAATAAAAAGAACATAAAAGTAGAAAAAAATTATCAAAAATTAATAAAAAATAATAAAAATCTCATAAATTAATTACTCAATTTTCACTAATTAAAATTTAGCGAATAATTCATATTTGCGTAGAGTAAATTTACAGTTTATAAAAGAAATATACTATTATCAATATCAAATTATAATTAATCTTGGAATCAAATCATCATCATGAATCATGCAAAGTTATATGAAAATGGAAATGTAATATCAGATATCAGACATTGTATTAAATTTTCATATTAAATTATGTAAAATGATTAAATTTGTTGAAAAATGTTCTAAAATTTCTTTAGAATACACGCGCTCATTTGTCTAATTTTTTAGTTTTCAATAATAATTCTCTATTTATTGAACAATTCGAATAGATAATTTACAATTTCCTGTAATTCCATACTTTTATAAGATAATAAAATTCAATTTAATTTTCCTCAAAGACAAAAGTGATTTCTTACATTAAGCCGTCTTCACACTATAAAAATATAATCTTAAAGCGCTTCGATAAAAAATAAGCACTAAATTAATTAATTACTTATCGATTGCTTAATAATATTTCAGACTTATTTTAGAATATTTTTTTAATTTGTTTAGTGTATACTGTTGTGTACATAAAAATGTCTAGTATTATGTACTTTTATTAATTTTTATATTATATTATTAGTATTTGAATTATTTTTAATTTATCTATTTTTTGGATTATTTATTTTTCATCATTTAATGATTTATCTATTTACTATTATATTTTTAAATGAACAAAAATTGATTCTAACAATATTCTATTTTAAAATGGAAATTATAATAAAAATGGTATGATTTATAAAAAATATTTATTTTATAATAGTTACGTAAAAACTGTAATTTTGAATAAAATACAATTTTTTTCAGTGAAAAAGAAAATATTGAATTTCTGTATCAAAGAAAAAGAGCTTTATAAAAATGAATCGAATTTCCTTTTAGTACATTATTTTTCCATCAAAATATTATTGGAAAACTGCAATATTTTTTAAGATATTATTATTTATGAAAAAAAAATTATGAAAATTATATCTAAAAATAAATCGTACTTTTATACTGACTAATCAATCAAAAAAAAAATTAATTAATGAACAAATGAAATTAATAAATATAATATATTTTTCGGCTTAAATAAAATGTATTTAAATAGACAAATAAATTAATATTCTACCGAGACGAGTGTAATTTATTTATGCACTGAAAGAAAGTAAGTATCAAATTTAAAAAAGATTTATTTTAGTTTTTGAGGCCTCTAATTTTGTAATTCTGAGGAATTTTATGAATTTTAGTTAAAATGCGAAATTTTAATTTTTATAAAAGTGTGAGGAATTTTTATGAATTTTAGTTGAAAAACAAAATTTTAATATAAAAATTTTAATTTTTACAGAGTTCTTAGGAATTTTTATGAATTTTTGTTATATAAAGTGAAATTTTAGTATAAAAAACTTTTATTTTTATAGAACTTTTGAACAATTATTATGAATTTTTGTTAAAATGAGAAATTTCAATACAAGAAATTATAATTTTTATAGATTTTTTATGAATTTTATATTTTTTTTTAGAAGTTTTATAGAATTCTTATGAATTTTTGTTAAAATGCAAAATTTTAACGAAAGAAATTATCATTTTTATAGAATTTTTTTTTAGTATTCTTATGAATATTTATAAATTTTAGTTAAAAAGCGAAATTTTAATATATAAATTTTTAATTTTACAGAATTCTAATGAATTTTTATCAATTTATTGTTAAAAAGAGAATTTTTAATTTTTATAGAATTTTCATAGAATTTTTGTGAATTTTTATAATTTTTAGTAAAGTATTATTAAAAACAATTAAAAAGATTTTCAATTATTAGTAAAACATTTAAAAATTAATTAAAAATTTGTTCTCTGTTTCATAAAATATTTAACAGTTTAAGAATTTTTTATACGAAAATTTCAATATTTATTATTTTGTCTTTTAATAATAAAAATTGTAAAAATTATAATAAATAATATTGCAAGAAAAATAAATATAATTATTATTATGCAAATTAAAAAGGAATAAATGCAGAGAAAGTAAATAAAATAAAAATAAATAAATCAAGAGAAGATGAATTAATAAATAAATAATTTAAATAATAAATTGACTTCAATAGTTAATTTATTTGAAAACCGAGTGATAGAATCATTATTATTATAATTTAAATATTAATTTAAATAAAAAATTAAAAACTATAAAATTTATGAAAACTAATATATTTACGTCTGTCTCTGTATTATATCAAAACAGTCACGCGCATATTTTTCTTATCAAAACAACGTAATAATTTATATAGAATGAAAAGAAGAAAAATAAAAAGAGTAATTATTTATGAATTTGTCACCTCTTTCCTGTTCTCTAAACATTACATAATTTAATTACTATATAATTTCCATTCCTTGAGTAATTTCCAGTAAAGTACCAACTGAGTTAACCAGCACTTTTGCCATTTATTTCCACTAAACGTATAATGACGTAACGACCCACTTCATGAAATTATCGTTTCCTACAAGAGCCACTTGAACGCTATAGGCAAAAAAAATGCACCTATCAAACTAGTTTCTTATCGATCCATCGTCAACACCTTTTTGAAAAAAGGAAAAAAAAATTCAAGTTCTTTATCAATGTAAACAAAAGCCAATGATTAACGAGGAATTTTCCATATTTTTACCACAATACAACCGTAATATAAATATAAGTGTATAATTGACAAGAAATAATTCAGTATTTCATGTAACATGTTCAAGTTAACATTTCTATTTATTATTTCATTCACACTTGGTGTTCGGTCAATCAGCAATGATTGGTGGAGGGACGCCGTAATTTATCAAGTTTATCCACGAAGTTTGAAGGATAGTAATGGAGATGGAATCGGAGACCTTAATGGAATAACTAGCAAGTTGGAACACATAAAGGACATTGGAGCAGATGCTCTATGGCTCTCGCCAATTTACTCCAGTCCACAAGTAGATTTTGGTTATGACATTTCCAACTTTACGGATATTGATCCTCAATACGGGACATTGGCAGATTTTGCAAAATTGATAAAACGAGCAAAGGAATTGAAATTAAAAGTTTTATTGGACTTTGTGCCGAATCATAGTTCGGATCAACATCCATGGTTTAAGAATAGTATCCAAAAAATAAAGCCCTATGATGATTATTTTATCTGGAGGGATGCTAAAATGGTGAATGGTATTAGACAACCACCGAATAATTGGTTGAGTATTTTTAAAGGTTCCGCTTGGGAGTGGAATGAACAACGGGGTCAGTACTATTATCATCAATTTGCGGTTGCCCAGCCGGATTTGAATTATCGTAATAGTGCTTTAAAGCAGGCGATGAGTGATGTTCTGACATTCTGGATGGATCGTGGTGTTGAGGGTTTTCGGGTTGACGCAATTCTCCATTTATTCGAAGACGAACAATTGAGGGATGAGCCAAAGAATGACGCCTCAAATGTCCCCGCTGATGAGTATGCTTCTCTTACACATATCTACACGAGGGATTTGGACGAGACTTATGTGATTGCTCGTGCTTGGAGGAAACTGTTGGATGATTATGCAACGAAGCATCAGACAGATGCGAAATTTATGATAGTCGAAGCGTTGACCACGCCGACGATAATGAAAAAATACTACGATTCAGGTTGTAATCCGTTCAACTTCATGTTCGTCGGTGACTTTAATTTAACATCAAAAGCCGTTGATTTCAAGAGAGGAATCGATAGGTGGCTCGACAACGTTCCAGAGGGTAATGTCTCAAATTGGGTCACGGATAATCACGACAATCATCGAACAGGCACGAGATTTGGTGAGAAAAAATCCGACATGATAACAATGTTATCATTAACATTGCCGGGAATAACGGTTATTTATTATGGCGATGAAATTGGAATGGTGGACAAAAATATAACCTACGAGGAGACTGTTGACGTGGCCGGTTGTAATCTTGGTCCAGACAGATATTATCTGGCTTCGAGGGATCCCGAGAGAACGCCATTTCAATGGGACACAACGACGAGTGCTGGCTTTTCGACAAATTCAAAAACATGGCTTCCAGTTCACGAGAATTACAAGACTCTTAATTTGGCGGCGCAAAAATTGGCAGCAATTTCGCATTATAAGGTATTTAAGGCAATGGCGAAAATAAAGAAAAATCTTTCTGTTCTTAAGGGAGGCGAGGTGGAGGTTCGTTTAATCACGGAGAACATTTTGGGAGTAGTTCGAAGATTAGAGACATCGTCGCCGGTGGCACTTTTAATTAACATGGGAACAGGGGATGAAAGTGTTGATGCTCACACTTGGTTGAATATTCCCGAGGAACTTATTATTTATACGGCAAGTGTTGGTTCGCAAATTCAACCGAATACAAAGGTTAATACAAGTGCTTTGAGACTTCCTGGTTCGTCGTCTTTATTTTTAGCGACGAAATCACAAATTGATTCACTTGACACTAAAACGAAACCATCTTTTGCGACAGTTTCTTCATTCGCTAATGCACCGTTAATTCTTATTATTCTCGTTATTGTTAATTATATTGTTACCTAATTAATGTTAATTGTTTTAAATAATTCATGTTAATTACTTTTTTAATTTCCATTTTTTATCGCATGCTCAAAATCATTCATTTTTAACCTTCAATCAGTTAAAATTGACTTGTACATAAAATGCTAAATCTATCAGTTTTTTTAGTAAATAAAAACTAATGAAAAAAATTATAAATAAAATAGAATTTTTAGAACGAATATAAAAATGAAAAATTTTAACAATTCGTGGAAAATATCAGTCAACTACCAGGAGGTGATTATATTATTTAATTTTGATTTTCACTTTCATTCTCAATTATCATTACCTTTATTTTTTACAATTACTATGACAGATTTATATTTTTACTTTTATTTTCTCTTTGAGAAATTTTCATTTTCACTTTGTTTTCTCTTAATTTTCTTTTCTTTTTCAAAGTCGAAATAAAAATTAATTAAAAGTGAAAACAAAAATTTGTCACCACAGTTTTTCAAAGAATATCAAATTGAGGCAAAAAACGAATCAAAAGTGTTGCGAAGCAACGTTTTGATTCGTTTTTTGTCTCAATTTGATATCCTTAGAAAAAATTAACGTAAAATTAATCGTAACAAAATATTTGTCGAAATGAAAGTGAAAATAAGATTCTTTCAAAGTAAAAATAGAAAAAAGTAAAATGAAATTTAAATTTAAAATGAAATTAAATTAAAAAGAAAAATGAAAGTTGAAACAAAATTCAATAATCGATCACTTCATTCAAAATAAATCAAAATTTAAATTCATTCTAATTTAGTCTCTATTTTAATTTTAGATTGTAAAAATAATTATTTTATCACTTTATTGTTAACTCTCGCAGTATTATTTATTAGTCAAAAATAATAAAGTTTGTAAAAAATCAAACATTTGTAAAATAATTTTCATACTGCAAAAAAAAGAATAAAAAAACGTAAATATGTCATCTGCAGTAATTAAACTGTCAATAATTTTCCTTATCAATATCGCTCAGATTATTCTCATATTTTTCAATTTTTCTTTAAAAATTACTTTTTTAAATTAATTTCAATTTAATATAAGCGAACAACTTTTATATAGGATTTATAAAAATAATTGCATTTTTTAGAAGAATTTTTATATTTATGAAAATAAATAAATTCTTACGAAGAACATTATTCAAATTTTTGAAAATAATTATTATTATAATTAATTATTAATTATTATTATTATTATAATTATTATTATTATTTCGAAGAATTTTATTAGAATCTTTGAAAATAATTGAATTCTTTTAAGAAATTTTATTAAAATTTAAAATTCTAATGAAACTAATTGAAATCCTTGGAAGAATTTTATAACTTATGAAAATAATTCAATTCTTGCAAAGAATTATATCTAAAATTATTTAAATAATTGAATTCTTTTGAAAAATTTACTTAACATTTTACTGTTGAAGATAATTGAATTATTTTAAGAAATTTTATTAAAATTTTTAAAAATAATTTAAATCTTGCGAAGAATTTTATTATTATTGAAAATAATTGAATTTCAGCGAAAGTATTAAAGATAATAAACAATTGAAATCTTACAAAGAATTTTATTTAAATCTTTGAAAATAATTGAATTTCTGCAAAGAATTTTATTATTTATAAAAATAATTAAATTTTTTGCGAAGAATTTTTTTAATTAGAAAAAACAATTGAATTCTCACGAAGAAGTTTTTACAATTTTTAAAAATAATTGAATTATTTCAAAAAATTTTATTGAAATCTTTGAAAATAATTGAATTACTGACAAAAATCCTAATCAAAATATTTTTAAATAATTGAATTCTTTTAAGAAATTTAATTAAAATTTAAAATTCTAATGAAAATAATCGAAATCCTTCGAAGAATTTTATAATTAATTTATAAAAATAATTGAATTATTTAAAAAAAATTTATTAAAATTTTTAAAAATATTTCAATTCTTGCGAAGAATTTTATTATTAATGAAAATAATTGAATTTCAGCGAAAGTATAAAAGATAAAAAAACAATTGAAATCTGTAGAAAAATGTAATTAAAATTGTACAAAAAATAATTGAATGCATCCGAAAAATTAAATCATTCACGAAGAAAATAATTGAATTCTTGTGAAGACTATTATTAAAATTTTCAAAAATAATAAATGGAAATAATTAACTATAGTTAATTGGTTAATAAGTGAATTTTCAAAAACTTTAAAAATAAGATTACTCAAAAATTGAAGTTTATATTTGAAAACAAAAAAATTTATAATTTTCACCGTTATTAATAAAAAATTGAATTAAATAAATTTTTTTAGCATTTAACTTTTAAAAACTATTATCAAAACAATAAAAAATAAACAAACCTCCTTATAATAAAAATCAAAATAGTAAAATTCACTCTTTTCTAAATAACATTTTGAAAAAAAAACAACTCAATTATTTTTCTATGGCTTACGAATTCAATATGGTTATTTTTGTCAAAGTGGTGACATTAAAATTCATGAATTTTTCTTTTTATTGCTTTCTACGATCAAGGCAATAATTTGAATGAGAAGCATATTAAAATTTGTAGCTTTTTAAAAATGTGAAAAATGTTATTTTTTTCAAAAAGTGGAATATCTTTAATATTTATTGCCTCATTTACATGAGCCAACACAGCTCGATAAAAATGAGAAGAATTTAAACCACAATGCTGCGTCGCGGTTTTTCTACCGCGTAAAAAGCAACTACCTAAAAAATTATCTTCCAAATTTTTCTTTTTCCTGGCTTTTGCTTTTTATATATTTTTTTTTTACTTTTTAAAATGAAATTCCGGTTTTATCAAACAAAAAAAATTATTGTTATGCTGATGAAATAACAGTATTTTATTCTCGAATATAACAATCTCGTTTTAAACCATTTCGGATAATGAAAGTATACAACAGTATATATTTGCAAATATATTTCAACTTTTTTATGACAATAAAATTATTTATAATTATAAATTTTTTTGAATTTGTTCAATAGAATTCATTTATTGATTATTAATTTCTATAGAATTCTTTTTAAATCTTAATTCAGAAAAGGAAATAAAAATAAAATTTGACATTTTTTTGTAACTTAATTTCAAGACTATTCGAGATATAATAAAAAATCATTTTATAAAAATTTTAATAATTTAGTTTTTTATATTTTACAATTCAGTGGATTTAATTAGAATTTTAATTAAATTTTCATAAACTAAAACATAATTAATTTAAATTCTCATATAAATGAGCAAAAAAATAAGAGCAAACATTAAAAGCTCTTTTGAAATTACATATTTTTCACATTAAAATTCCATTTCAAAACTTTATGTATATTTTAGCTTTAATTAGATGTTTAAGTTAATATTCTAAAAATATTGTAATTAAAATTTTCAAAATAATAATTCATTACACCGAAAAAATAATAATTTTAATTAAAAAATAAAGTTTGGCTCTTAATTAAAAATAGAAAGGTATTTATATTATTTTCAAAGTTAGATCATAAAATATTCTCTTTAAATTTGTATTAGTAAATTTGTTTACTAATTTTAATGAGTGATTGATATTTTGCATTTGAATTAGTAAATTTTACCAATAAATTGGTAGAAATCGACGAATTGTAACAAAAGTTTTAAGAATAATTACATTTTTCAAAAAATTTGATTAAAATTACCTATATTAAAAATAATTAAAATTCTGAGATGAGTTTCATTATTTGTGAAAATAATTGAATCCCTTAGAAGAATTTTATTATTTTTGAACAATATTTAATTTTTGCAAAGAATATTATTACTCTTGAAAATAATTGAATTCCTGCAATAATTTGTAACTTTGAATTTGTACTTTGTAACTTTGAAATAATTTCAAAAAAAAATCCGCAATTAAACTTTCTCTAAAAAATTATAATTCCACAGAACTATTAGTTAAAAATATGAAAAATTCAGATTTTCAAAGATTTTAATTTGAAACCTTGTCAAAATTAAATTATTTATAAAAATTCAAGCTATATTGCTTTTAATATTCAATTATAATCTAAAATTTTAACTGAAATTCATTTTTAATCAATTTTTATTAGAAAATCCTATTAGAATTCAATTATTTAAATACAAAAAAAAATTTGTTGAATTGTTTTGAATTGAATTCTCATTTAAAGGATTTTATCAAAAAAATTTTAAATAATTAAATTCTTTTGACGAATTTTAATAAAATTTTTAAGAATAATTACATTTTTCGAGGAATTTAATTAAAATTGTATTAAAAATAATTGAAATTCTGCAATAAATTTTATTATTTTTGAAAATAATTGAATCCTTAAAAAGAATTTTATTATTTTTTAACAATATTTAATTTATCCAAAGAATATTATAAATCTTGAAAATAATTGTACTTTTGCAATAATTTGTAACTTTTCCAAAATAATTTTTTTTTTGTTTTTAACTAAAATATAAAAAATTTAGATTTTCAAATATTTTAATTTGAAACCTTTTCAAAATGCAATTATTTCTAATGATTCACCTTGTAATGCATTTAATATTCAATTGTAATCTAAAATTTTTACTGAAATACATTTTTAAATCAATTTTTATTAGAAAATTCTACTGGGAATTCAATTATTTAAATACAAAAATAAATAATTTTTTAAATAATTCTATGTTTCTTAAAATTGAATTATCATAAAGAATTTTATCAATAAATTTTTAAATAATGGAATTCTTCTCACGAATTTTAATGAAATTTTTAAGAATAATTCCATTTTTCGAGAAATTTGATTAAAATTATATTACTTATGAAAATAATTGAATTCCTAAAAATAATTTTATTATTTACGAAAATAATTGAATGCCTATAAAAATTTTATTATTTATGAAAATAATTGAATGAATGAGAAATTTTTATTATTTTATGAAAATAATAAAATTAAAGGTTTGTATAGAGTTTTATGAAATTTTTTTTAAATAATTGAATTTTTTTGAAAAATTATATTAAAATAGTAGATATTAAAAATCATTGAATTAAGGGAAATTTTTGAAAATAATTGAATTTCGGAGAAGAATTTTATTATTTATAAAGATAATTGAAATTCTGTTGGGAATTTAAAAAAATTTTCTTTTTTTTTTAAATTCTCTTTTAGAAAAGTGCATGTTTGTTGGAATATTGTAATTAGTGGAACTTGGTCTAAAATCACC